CATGCTTACATGGTTTATATCCTCATCTAACTATACATAGGTTTATAAGCCCATCTATATAAAGTTCCTTAGAACTACCATAAACCCAACAGTTATTACGCTTGTGTTCACCAGCTATCGAACAGGGGCCCATGGCCGTTGTAGATTTATTGTTCGAACGCATTCCGACAAGATCAGGGTCGCGCTGTCGCAAAAATATATCATAGGCCAAGGCCTTGAGTATTCGTTTTCGAAGGACACACACATATATATATATATATATATTAGCATATCTATCTATCTTATCTTGTCTTATCTTATCTATTTGATCCACTAAACTATCTATCTCCAAGTTCCCACTTTGCACATAAATTGTACGATCCTTTTCTGTCTTCCACTTTTGAAACTTGTCATAGACTAGCAGCGTTGCACCATGCCGCCCCATGTCGAGGTTCAACTGGTACTTCCTTCACAGCGAGTTTCAGGTGAAGAGTGAAGAGCGAAGCTTCGCATTTTGGTACAGCAACTATTGGTCCCTTGGCGTTCGCGGTGAATTTTGTTTGACGTGCTTCGACCAACAAATGAAACATGATGTGAACGGGATAGTCACTGGTGAACCAACAGAAAGGTACAACTTTGTAAAACGTTGCAACTTGCAACTTGTTTTTTGTCAAGTCGTTGAAATTTTATGGGTGAAACCCACCTGATCAATTTGCCTGCATTTCAGCTGTTGCTTGGTACAAGAAGCCCCACCCCTACATAGTTAATGACAATGACAACACCGGATTAATAACCCCCCCTTATAGGTCAACAAGGTCAACAAGGTCCAGTCAGGGAGTCAAAAAAAACAAACCCCTCGAAATAATGTGCCTTTCACTCATCCATGAACTAATGTTGCTGGAATTAGCTTGCAAATAAGCACCGATGGAGCATCAATTCTATGGGAATTAGCATAGTAGCATCCATGAGGGGATCAATTTTGATTAATGTTTTGGCCAGTAGCCTCCATGAGGGGTTTGTATTGTTTAAATTAGCTTCACATTAAGATCCATGGGGTATCATGGGGGATCAGTTTTTTATAAAATCAGCTTGGTAATTAGCTGCGTAATAATTAATCAATGTGCATCCTTCAGGGGGTCAAATTTGATGAACTCAGTTATGAATTTAGTATCCATGAAGGGTTGAATGGGCTGGAAATGACCATCAATAAGGCATCAACTTGAATGAAACCAGCTTGGAATTAGCGTCCATAAAGGGTTAAACAGCATCCATTCTGATGAGATTAGCTGGATATCAGCATCCATGACGGAGTTGTTTTAGCATCCATGAGGGCCAAATTTTTGTGAGTGTGAATTCCATTGCTTTTAATCAGATTTGGCATGAGAAATCCACTCAAATCCATGAAGGTCCCATGAGCCAGCAGGGGTCCTGTGACGCTCTCCATGGGCATTCTGCTCAAAACAGAAGCTCATCAGCTCACACGCAGCTCACCGGCCCACCTCTCAGCCATTGTTCTGGCATCACTCATCCATCGCTGGCATCAAAATCGAGATCATGGGGACCGGCATATGCTCCAAATGCAGATGGCAGAGCGGATGCCTTGCATGTGATCCCGCGGGGCTGGTCGGCTGGAGCCCAGAAATTGCCTCCTCTTTCCGTAGGTCATCCTGGGCTGCAGCAGGATGTGGTAAGCATGAGAAACATGCGCCAGCAACGAATAAACATGAGATAGGAAAGGGTTAGTAAGTAACCCTGGAAATTGTAACCCTACTTGGAAGTAGAAGGGGCCAACTTGGGGGGTGAAACCCACTATTTAAGGTGGAAAACGCCACCTAATTGATCTTAGTATTGCCCCAAAATCGGGGATGAGCCGGGGTGAGATTGACTTGGGCGGGCTTATTAATCCTAACTTGTCACAAAATTGAACATAGTTGAATGATTAAAAGGAATTTAAAAGGACAACTTGGACTTTTTTATGGTGGGTAAACCTACCTATCATTCTATCCTATCCGAGTATCTATTATCATAGGGTTGCATTCCGCAACTATATTCTTCTATGCAAGATTTCTTTTATAATACCAAAGAAAACGGTAAAAGTAGGTAAGTAGTAAGATCATGGGAAGAGATATGATCAAGTATCCAGTGATATCCAGTAGCCCCAAGCAAAGATAAGCAACATGGGGGTGAAACGCAATTTTTATAGGTACTTGGAGGGTGTAGGTAGATAGGATTGTACTTGGTGGTTCATCCCACTTAGTAAGTAGGTTGTAACCTTAGTTATGAGTGGGCTAAGTTGGGGCAACGTCCACTTATAAGTGGCTAACCCACTTGCTATCCCAGTTACAGTATACTTGTTCGAAGGAAGTTTAGAAGTCAAACTTCCGACGATATGGACAGATGAAAAAGCAGAGGTGGCAAGAGTCAGCAAAGAGAACAGAAGAAGCAAGAAGCTCAGAGAAGAGAAAGAGTCAGAAGAAGATGCAGGTGCGCGAAAAGGTAGGAAAGTCGCGAAACACTGCGTTTTTCAAATGATTTGTGGCTCCAGAGGATCGAAAAGTAGGCTCGCTAAAGCGGCGGGTGCGGAGCCATCTGGCCAGATGAGAGATGCAACATGGCACGCCGTTGTGGCGCGAAGCACATTTGAAAGTGAAAAAGGTAAAAACACCTCATGTTCCTAGCACTTTTGGCAGTTGCAATGTGGAAAGAGTGCACGCCGTTGTGGCGCGAAGCACATGTTGAAGTCAAAATGTACAAAACACATCATGCTCGAAGCACGTTGGGAAGTTGAGATGTGGAAAAGTGCACGGTGTTGTGGCGTGAAGCACATTTCGAAGTCAAAATGCACGGGGCACCACATGATCGGTCCACTTTTGGACATTGAAGCGTCATTTTGCGTGGCAGGCACAAGTGATTCTGCACTTTGTCGAAGGTGCGCGAAACGTGAAAGTTTTGTAGCATTTCCAGAAACGATGGCAGGCGGGGGACATTTCAAGAGGATCTGCAAAGATGCATTTCGCGTGGCAGGCACAGTACAAGAGACATGTTCATCAGAGATGTTAGGAGGTCAGGGTGCTGATTTCCTGAGAGGGGTTGCATTTTGGCAAGGTGATTTTGCGTGACAGGTGCAACACTTTGTATGAGCTGGCATCACTTTTCGTGGCAGGCGCAGCACTCTAGACAGATGGAGTGGAAAATTGTTTTTGATAGTGTCAACTTGACAATTGAGGAAGTCTCGCAGAATTCCTTCGTTTTTTTGACGTTGTAAAGTTCAAACATTGAGGAAATCTCGCAGAATTGCGGCGTTTTGATTTTGTCAAGTTCAATACTGAGGAAGTCTCCCAGAATAGCATCGTTTTCAAGGTTGCAGAAAACAATTCACTACACTACGCTACACACGACAACTACAATACAAATAGAAATGCGAATGCAAATGCAAATGTTCAAATGCACATGCAAATGCAAATGCTACACTACACTACAACTACAACTACAACCACAACTATAACTACAACTACAACTACAACTGCGCTACACCACACTACGTCTAGCAGTTGTGGGCGAGTTGACCACTGCAACCGTTGCAACCACTCCAAAAAACACAACTCCAACCACCTTTCGGTCCATCAGTGACTTTGCTCTGCCATCCATGCATCACAACAACTCACCTCTCCTTTAGCGTCCTATCCCTGAAACTTCCGCCACTTGCTTGTGCGGTACTACTGGTGCAAGTACCTGGTGTGAAACGCCAATTTTATGTAATACTAGTTGGTCTATTTAGAAGTGGCGTTATAACCCACTTATAGGTACTTGGATGAACCACCACGTAGACCGCTTAGAAGCTGCTGTGCCCCTGGACCCGCAGGTTTTCGATGCAATTCTCGTACCTGGAGCTGGTCAGGGAGCGGTATCCGGGTATCCACTGTTTGCCTATATCCTTCTTCAATGGGGGTTTCCTAAGTCATGGGGGTACCCCAAAAGGTATGGTTTATAGTATATAGTGGAAAATCCCAAACAAAAACGGATGATAACTGGGGGTACCCCTCGTTTCCGGAAACTTCCAAATGGTGAGAACTGAGGAACTGTTTCGAGTTTCTCAACCAAACGATAGTTGCTTAATTGTGGATAATTGTGGTTCACCAATAGTCAATTGAGCCATTGCACATACCCTTGGGTATGAAATTGTAGTTATACCAACTTGTTTTTTTGGAGATGATTATGTTGTTTGGGAATCCTATCCAGTATTTCACGAGATGGGATAGGGGTATTTTTTTAATGGTTTAGATGATTCTTTGTGGTTAACCATAGTCAATTGATGTGTGTGTCTGAAATAGGGTATAAATGGCCATTTTGATAAACCATGTGTGTTCAGAAATAGTTCTTGGTATACCCCCAAACATGTATTCATCCAGAAAATGAGCATGAACCGTTCGATGTGGGAATTTACATTTTTGGGCGAAACGCATGCAATTCACTTCACTTCGAATTCAATCATTCCCACCTTTTTTTTTTCTGGGACCGGTTCATAGGTCATCTGACAGTTAAAATAAACGCACGCCAAATAACCGCAACCTCACAAAATATGTTCCATGTATGCTGAATGCTGCACTTCAAATTACATGACTGCCTGACTCAATAAAACATTGTGTGAATGTGTAATTACAAAGGAAACTATATGTATAAATGTAATATATTGTCTATATATACATAGCCGTACAAGGCGCGACCAAAAACGGGATTAGATTGGTAGGAATACGACAAACATCACCCACATTTTCTGTAGGTATCTTTGAGGTGCAGCTGGGTGTATTAATGCACCGTGGCAATGGCAATAAGTTGGGCTGTGGGGCCGCTAAAACTATGGTTGCATTTCCATACATTTCCACTTATAACCGGAAGTGTACCCCGAATTGTTGGGTTGTAGAATGTTGTAGCCATAAGATAGTGCCTTCCCATTACAAGTTGTACAAAGGATGGCGATGGCACAGGCAATCACCCCAGCCTGCTGGCTGAGGCTCATTCACATGAGTGGGGACTATCCAATGACTGAGTACCCTGTGAAGGTTCGAGTGATGCACATTTGTTTCTCAGATGCAGCGGCACTGTCAGTGGCACATGTTGGCTCCCAACTTCTTGCAAGTAGCAGGTCCACGCATCCAAACCGTTTGTTTTTTGAACCAATCTTTCTGTGCGAACAAACATGATAAGCAGATGAAGTCCATCTTGGTGAAGCGTCAAAGATTGAAACATGGTGTTTGAAGGTTTCAACATTTGAAGGTTTCAAAATGACTCAAACACCTGACATAAAACATCATAAAACCAAATGCTGAAGGTGTTTGAGTCATGGTTTTGTCTTCATGACGGATCGGGGCTGGTTGACTGGATCGGGGGCTCCAAATTTCGCTGCAATCTTCTTGCTTCGCAACCTTCCTTTGTTTTGGTGGAAAGCACCTATGGCAACTATGAATTAATAATCTTAGAACTTGGAATATGGTCCCCCTATAACTATGGTATATAACTATAGTAACTATATAACTGTGGTTTGGCATACTATGGTTGGTTGGTGGTTTGGAACATTTTTTGTTTTCCCATATATTGGGAATAATAATCCCAACTGACCAATATTTTTCAGAGGGGTTGAAACCACCAACCAGATCAAATTTGCTGAACATGATTTTCACAACCATGTGACTTTGCTGTTTTGCAAATTGATTGAACGAAGCACCTATTTTTCAAATCAGTTCCAGCAAGTAAGTGGTTCATAAGTCCCTCACTGGAGTCCTACTATAGAGCCTAACTACGGAATTATTCTATACCATCATTTTCCGATAAGTCGTTCGATAGAATTATAGTATCATGCCGCATGCCTCTGACTTGATGTACCCTCCTTATCCGGAAATATTCCAGGTATCTAATGTAATTGTCTTGTACCGAAGGATTACGTCATATTAATATACATCATAATACATTATACTTACACATATAATCATATATTTGTTTTATGATTCATTCTATACAAAAAACTATCTTTGAATTCCAACCACAAACCGCCATCTCACCTTTCAATCCTCTCAAATCCCAATGTTTGCCAATCCTCTCAAATCACAATGTTTGCTGCATAAATCACCACATGTAAATCAATTTCCCAGTTTTTCCTAGTTCTCTCCCGATGTTTATCTCATGTTTGCTCCTTACTTCACATTTATCATCAGTTCAATAATCCATTTTCCCCTTGATTTCCCAATTTGTCTCCATCTTTCCCACGTTTTTCGTTCCCTGGTTGCGGGTTTTCTTACCACCCGTGGCTGCCACCGTTTCCGGCGCCCGAGTTTCGCTCTTCTCGGCCTGGGCCTTCGTCACGATGCCGGCGGCCATGCTGGCGGCGGCCTTCCACGATGCCCTGGAGAAACGGCGCCTGGTGCAGGCGAAGCGAAGGAAGGAGGTGCCGGGCGGGTCCGGGGTGGCCTCGGCGCTGGGTCCTTTCTACCCTTATAGGATGTTCAAGCCTGTGTTGATATGAGCATTTTTTCGTTTTCATGCTGTTCGAAGCCCAATTTGGCTTCAATGCGACACCAGCAACAACTTCAGTAGTGTTCCAGGGGTAGGTTTGTCTACAGCCATGGCACCAAAGAAAAAAAGAATTCAGGAAAGTTCAGTGCCTCTACCGCCTGGGCGTGTGCAAGTCTCTGACAGGGGGGCATCTTCAAGCCAGGCTTCGGCATTACCGCCTCCACCCCCGGCAGACGTCACGGGTCCAGAGGCTCCTCCCCATAAGAAGCTGAGGAGAGCAAACATGTTGAGGGCCAGGAGGCACAATCAGGCAAATGCTCTTTCATTTTACAAGTCCCCGCCGGATTGGTTCTCCGAGCCACAAGCTGATTTCCAGGTGGCGAAACGCTTTTTTCAATCGCTTCGGAAGAAGGATGTGTGGGGAGCACTGATATATTTGTTTTCAATGCTGTTCAACATTATCTTTGCATGGAAACCAGATGCAAGCTTCGGTCAACGAGCAAAACATCAAACAGCCCTGCGAGGGCCTTGCATTGGCACCGACAGCTTCGGCTGACAGCTGCCGACATGCACAGACTCGAGGGCATGTTCAAGGATCAAGTCTTTTATGGTGCCATGCAGGCGGCAGAGCAGGCAAACGCAGCTGCAAAAAAAAGTGGGGCCGGAAGGACTGAAGCCTCTGCTGCCAGCTCTGCTGCTGGTTTTTCGGAACCTTCAGAAGCCAGACCCAAACAGACACCCGAATCAAAATGGTTGCCGAAGCTACAGCTCAGCTTCCAGTGCATGCGTTTTCTTTTCGAATGTGGCAGATGGTCTTTACCATTGAATGAAGAGTGGCCCGACGAGATGTATCATTCATGGTGCATTTACATCGAAGATTTCCGTTGTACCCATGCTTGGTTTGGTTGGAAGAAGCCGAAATTCCGCTCAGTGGCCTGGGAGCATTTCAAGGCTTTCTACAAAGACGTCAAGATTGAAACCAAGCCTGACAGATCACCAGCTGAGCTGGAGGAGCTGGAAAAGAAGCTGGCTGCGAGCTTAGAAGAGGAAATAATTGAAGCAGCAGCTCCAAGTGAGGTGGCAGAGGCCGCAAAAGAGGATGTCCATGATGAGGAGGTCCATGATGAGGATTTTGAGGCAAAGGCAGCGGAAGGCGCTATGGCAGTGGGATTGCTTCTGGATGCCATGGAAAAGGGGTGGTTGATGAGTGCCCCGTCCAGCCACCAAACAGATGTAGCTCAAATCTTGGACTTGTGCCGGCAATGGCTGCAGAAGGGCTCTGCATTGGGGGATCTGCAAGACATGATGATGCCTGCTCAAATTCGTCAGTTGCCAACGTCGATGCGGGCTTGGACGCTGGTGACGTTTACTGGGATGCAGTTTGTGGAGTCTGAAAATTGGTTGCCGACCTACATCCAGATACTCATATATTAATCAACCGATTTTGGGTAAATGGAGGGAGCGAACCGCTCCGTGCCTCGCAACTTCAATGCACACCTCCATTTAACTAAAAATTGGTTTAGGACACCCCCCAGCGGATTAGATTGCTTGGTTGCTGGATATTATAAGGGTTGGTTGAACCGGTAACCTCCCTATCTAATCCGCGACAATATTTTTTTCTAATCCGCGACAATATTTTTTTCGGGGTTATGATAATTTTTTGGAATTGTAATGACCCCCCAAAGGATGGATTGCCCAATTCAAGGAATGTTGATGCCTGAATTGCCCTATCCATCCAAAACCACAAAAGGGGATAATCACTGACATAAAATCTAAGAGACCTGAGTTTCATGAAAACCTGGGGCCTGAGTTTCATGAAAACCTGGGGCCTGAGTTTCATGAAAATGAAATAGTGAAGTTCTTGCGCAGGATGAAAACCTGGGGTCTGAGTTTCATGAGAAAGGAAAAAAGGAGAACAAAGAAGAAGAAAGGGAACGGAGATAGGGAAAGGAGAAAGGGAAGGGGCAGGAGAAAGGGTCAGGAGAAAGGAGAAAGGAAAAAAGGAGAACAAAGAAGAAAGGGAACGGAGAAAGGGAAAGGAGAAAGGGAAGGGGACAGAAGAAAAGGAAAGGGGAAGGAGAAAGGATCAGGAGAAAGGAGAGAGGAAAAAAGGAGAACAAAGAAGAAAGGGAAAGGAGAAAGGGAAGGGAAGGGAAGGGAACAGGAGAAAAGGAAAGGGGAAGGGAGAAAGGATCAGGAGAAAGGAGAGAGGAAAAAAGAGAGAACAGAAGGAAGAAAGGGAACGGAGAAAAGGGAAAAAGGGAACGGAGAAAGGGAAAGGAGAAAGGGAAGGGGACAGGAGAAAAGGAAAGGGGAAAGGGAAAGGAGAAGGAGAAAGGGAAGAGAAAAAATCGAGCGCAACCGACTGGGTGAATGTTGCGGAGACTTGGAAACTTTGGACTTAAGAATCCCTGCATAGATGGCGCAACCCTGAAACACATTGGCAACACATTCTGGCATAGATGGCGCGGCCCACAAAAGTAAGGGGAATGGATTTCATGCCCTTTTCAGGTGTCAAAATTCAAAAAGTCGACGCCATCTATACGCGCACTTTGGAAGTGGGCCGAGCCATCTTTCTTGAAAATGGTGTATATTATATATGTATGTATATCGAATTGGCTAATGGAGTTTATAAACCAGATTGGGGTAGAGTAGGACAGTCAAGCTTCCCAGTTTTTTCTGGTGTTCTGATTCAGTATCTCCACAACTTCCACAGCTCTTCAACTGCAAGACCCATCCTCGATGAGTCTGAGCGCAGGTGGTGTGGACATTGCGGCGCTCAGCGGCGGGGAGCGTCGACAGCGCGCCGCAAGAAAAACGGCTGGTTTTCGTAGACCGGGCATTGGGAAACCCAGGGTAAAGAAACCATATGGAAGTAACCCCTCAAGGGATACATATAGATGGTATTTTTCAATTCTGAATATTGAATATTTAAATATGTCTATGTATATGTTAATGTATATACAATTTATATGTATATATAACTTTATGGTGTATAAGTATATATATATATATATATATATTTACAAAATAGCTAGTAACATTTTACTATCTCTACTTTTTTGGTGGATACTTGGAGGATAAATGAGGATCGTCCCACTAGGAATTGGTGTTTGATAACGCTGGTGACCCCATCCTAGACACCATTCTAGACCCCCAATTTGGGGTCTATAATGTTATGGCCACTGTACCTAAATTGTAGTAGACGGGAAAACCTGCATCCAGACTACCATTATTTCAAATTGTCTAAGGTAATGTGCCTTTCCTGTTTGAGCAGTGGCGAAGATTTCTGGTCCGAGCAACCACAATTGTTTGCCACGGAGAAAATTCCTTCACAATTGGCGTCCCTTTTGCGCGGACAGACACTGACCAGGATGATTGGGAAAATGTACCAGAGTCGTTCTGCCAAGCTGTCTTGGCCCGCCAACCAATGTGGACTTTATCTATTCGGCGACACAAGGCCGAAGAAGTCTTGCTGGGCACAACCATGTTTCTGTCGCAGACTTGTAGATCCTGGAGGCCTGAAGTGTGTCTCTTTGACCACGAATCTCTACAAGTGGTTGCATACTGGGGAATGGTTGTCTGGTTTTTTGTCTTTGCCAAGAAGACTGGTAAACGATGGACCATGGACAACTTCTTGCAGAACATGCACTCGAACATGACCACCGTTGATTGGTGCAATATCTTGCAAGATGCTGGCTGGGCCGTGAGCTGAACCCTGACAATATTCCCAAAGCTTTATGGCAATGCCTGGAAGCACTCGACAATGGGCCACCACTGTGCCTTGATACCTCTTTGTGAAAACTTTTGCTGCCGTTTGATTTTCTGACATGTAGTCACGTTTTTCACATATTGCGCGCAAAGATCTTAGAAACGTTTCAGTTTCAAACGGTTGCCCAACTCTGGGCACGACCCCAAGAATGATAACAAACCAGTTTCACAACAATGTAAACGAAAATTTGTTACAAGACTTACCTATCACATCTTGGCCGTAGCAATACGTGTTCAACAGCTTCGACTTCATTATCATCATTTACATCACTGGCGCTAACATAGGAACCGCACCAGGCGGTGGCAGAAGTTTCCAAAAAAACTATAGGAGAGATGTGACAGTGTGATGGACAGAGGACGGACTGATGCATAGACAAAACGGTCCTCATCAACTTGTGTGACTAGCTAACCAACTGAGTGATGAACTGGCTGACTAGCTAGCAGACTGACTAGCTGACTGTCCGACTGCATGTCAAGCTCACTGATTAGCTGACTAACCGACAAAGTAACTAACTGATCAACTGAATGGTTTACTGATTGACTGGAGGACTGACTCCCTTACTCAGCAGCTGAGGAACTAATTGGAGAAACTCGTTGAGTAACTAGCGAACTGACTAAGGAGCCAGCTAGCGAATTAACTAATTACTTAACCAAATAACTAACGAACTAACTACCCACTTAACTGCCTGACTGACTAACTAACTAGCTGATGAACTGCCTAAGTACATAACTAACTAACTATCTAACTGACCAATCGTCCAACCAATGAACTAACCAATTAGCAAACTGACCAACTAGGCAACTAATGAAATCACTAACTAAATAACTGGACTTACCTTAACTTGACTAACTATCAAACTACCTACCTACCTACCTACCTACCTAACTAACAAACTGACTAACTAACTAACTAACTGGCTTATTCACTAAGTAACTAATTAACTAACTAACTAACGAACTAACGTACTCACTAACTAGCTAAATAGCTAGGTAGCTAACTAGCTGACTAGCCGACTAGCTGACTAGCTAATCAACTAACTAACTAAGTCACTAACTGACTACTTTGCACTACAAAAGTTGCACAAAGGACCAGCAGTACTACTTTGTACTACAAAACTTGCACTTTAAGTGGCATACGCCACTCGGAACGCGAAGGCTACA